GCCAAATCGGATTTCAGCGATTTAAATTGGAATTGGCACTTAAGCGATTATTTTTTCTTAAAGTGGTACTTAAGTGATCCGAAAAAAACTTTTGACTAGGCGTATCAAACTTTTGACACTTCTAATGTCTTTATTTTCAAGATTGAAGATGACACACTTATTATCTCTTAATTTGGATGGTAAAGCTGTAAAGAAGTTTTGGCTTGAGACTATTGTATTATTCACCGACTCAGCTGATGCATGTGTACTATTTTTCTAGAGAAAATTGAGTATATGTGAAGATCTATTCAATGCTTTGCTTACTGGGATGACTCTGGTTGCTGTCACTAAGGGCCGAAAGCAGCTACAAGTTTTGCTCATTCGCCTCAAGCACCTTGTACTGACTGCATGTGCTCAGGTGCGTTTAAGAAAGGAATTATGCCTGTTAGCATCATCCATTCACAATAACTCTGATTGATGTGTTCATCCATAAAATCCTTTTTCTGGGGCTACAATTTGCAGCAGGCTGATGCATGGGCCAGTAGCCGTGGAGCCATGGTTGAGAGTGTAATGAAGGCAAGCTGTGAAAGTGATTGAATATGGCTGTAGAAAGGCCTGGGCCTGTAGAGACACTTTTATCATGGGATTAGCGGTAAGTGTCGGGAAAGGAATGACTACGATTAACAGGTTGGATGAATATCAGTGAGTCATCGATGAGAACAAACTCATTATTGGCAGCTGTGGCTGCTGTACATGCTTCTTGTACATATTTAGTCGATATTTGCCGGATAATACTTGTATGTGAGATATGAGGAATGTTCTCCTTGAAATATTTGGGTTTCTTAGGTTGGAGTCCACTTGAAATTTATTGTGATCTTTCATCTGTTTTGTGGCTGTATAATTTGATAATGTTCTAGAAGTGCCCATGTTCTCACTGTAGAGATCTTACCTGGCAATGTCAATTACCGGTCCTTTGAACCCTATTCAGCGTAGTGCTTCTTTGGTCCAATATGCAGTCTTTATGTTTGATTCCATTCAACTTATCTTTCTTTCACAATGATTTTGATCCTCGTGGATTTGTCATTCTTCAAAGATCAAAATTACTCACTTGCGTATCGAATCCCTCAGAAGCAGCCTATAACTCCTCCACGACTTTGACCAGCTTCGCATCATTCTTCCTCAACAGCTAAAATCTCTGAACACCCTTCCTCTACTTCTTCCATTTTTCTCCAGCCACTGCGAAAATCTCTTCCCGAACAAATCCTTCATTATATGTATGTTATCCCTTCCCTTTGTGTACTTATTGAAGTTGGTCTTTAATATGTGCTCGGCATTCATCGGAGTGGCCGCGTAAATCTAACTCTGGCCTGGCGCGAGGAGCCGGAACGTTGGAGATCTCCTCACGAGTCCACCTAGGCAGTTGTAGGGCCGATTAAAGTAGATGAGTTGACCGAAGACCGTCCCGTGAACGGGTGGATACCTAGAGCTTCGGAGGGACTTGCCAGTTAAGGTTTATAGGAGGAGGAGAGCGAAGGCGATGGAGAGAGATGGGAACAGGTGCGGCAGAGTAGAGTGCCGCAGACACGATGTTGATGTTAGACTTGTCAAATGGGTGGGTCGGGTCATAAATGATCCAATCCAAATTGACCCATTAACCTTTTTATGACCCATTTATGCGCAATACTATTTTTTTGACCCATACCCGACTCGACCCATATCAAATCCATACCCGATCAGACCCTTATTGCTAAAATACTTCCATATTTAATTAAATATAGAAAAATTCATACCCAAGCTGAAATGAGAGTGCGGAGTGAGTGAGTGCAAGATTGAGTGATGGCGATAGAGATGCGTTGAGTTTAAATCAGTTGTAAATCCATTTACGACCCATTTAACACCAATATAAGACTTCTACCCATTTATGATCAATTTATTAAATATAACTAACCTATTTATGATTCATTTACTAATATATGGGATAAGAAATGGGTTTATGATCCCTTTTGACATGTCTAGTTGATGTCCATTTTTATTTTTTGGTGAAGAAGATGGAAGGTAATGTCGATGAAGATCAAGTAGATGATATCCACGCATTATTTATAACTCAAGATTCTTGACTTTTCCATTTTTACACTTAGCACTTTATCATCTGAGTTCTTGACTTCCGCCACAACAGACAGATGAAACCAGAATCGGCACAAAGATTCCTATGCATAATCTCTGCTTAAGTTCTTTTCGTTGGCCATTCTCATGCTACTAAAGATCGACTTTATAGAATTACAAATGTCTAATTCCCTCAAAATGACGGCATTAGTATTACATATTTTTCGGCGAAAAGAACCTTCTCGAATTAAAACAAATTTCACTGGTCCGACAAAATGGACGCATGTTCAGGATACCCTATTTACCAAGTCAAGTATTGAGAGACAAACAGACACAGGAAGGAAAAAGATACAAGGTTATGTTAACTCCATTCAGAAAAAAAATCACAGATGAGAATACATGAAACTAAGTATGGACACATGATTTTAGTTGATAAGTAATGTAAAAGTAAAAACTCGAGATTAGGGTTCCTGATTGCGATAAGGCCCGTTTCTCGACCAAAAAAAGTTGTTTAAATGTTTTTAAGGTCTTTTCGAGTTCCATTACATTCTGTCTAAACTTAGGCATTGATTTCATCAATAATCCATGATTGACTTTTGAGTTGACTTTCTAATCCACCCTTAAAGTCAACCCCTGGTCAATATTTTTTCGAAAATTTAAAAAATTGAAAAATTGAAAAATCATCAATTCAATTCTTTGCAAGCCTAATTAGACTTCCCATTCTTAATTTTTGTTAAAATCGATAGAGAATTGACTTTTTGACCACACCAAAATTTCAAAATTCATTGAATTCTAGTCATTTTTTAGAATGATTTCCTTGATTTAGGGTTCGACCAATTTTTCAGCACAAATTAGGGATGTGGTCAATCTCTCATAACAATACCAAGGAGCACAATTAAAATCCAATTAGGCCAAGTAAAATCAATTCCCATGTCAATTTCGACACAAGCAGGACAATTTGGAGAAATAAACACGAAATTAAGAATCGGGGCTGACGGGGTTGGGTTGATTCAACCCGTTTGACCCGACCCAGTCTGGCCCATTGGCCCAAGGCCCAATAAACATCTATTCGGCCCAATTGGCCGAAATATTCAGCCCATTAGCCCATCAAGAGGTTTGGCTAGCCCACTAATACTTGGCCGTTGCCCTTGTCATCGATCTAAGAGAGTTAAAACTGGCCAATGGGGGCTTTGCTTAGCAAAACGTTGGTTAGTCAAGATAAAATTCAGGATAAAATTTATTCTATCCTGTGTTTAGTTCATACTCAAGACAGGATCAAGTCAGATATAAGAAGGATATAACCCAAATAAAAATATCCATGTGGGAAGTGAGATAAAGTTGAATAGGATTTCTAATAACCATAATACTAAAGTTATTTTTCTCAAATAACAAACTTCTTAAATTAATAAAATTAAAATAACATTTGAATACAAATAATATTTTAATTCTAACATAAAAAATAAAATTCAAAATTCCAAGTAGAAAATAAAAATAAATTTTTTATTAATTCATATTTTTATCGATATATTCGAATTTTTTCTATCTTATAATATATATTCAATAAATATTTATTACATATTTTAAGTATTTTAGTATTTAGGTATATAAGTATAGTTTAATATTTAATAAAATTTTATTAGAGAATGATGCAAGGGAAAAAAAGAAACAAAGAAAAGAAAAGAAATATGAAAAGAGAGGGAAAAATAATAAAAATTAAAGAATTAAAAAGAAGTAGGCAAGAGCATTGTGTGAGATTCTTACCATCTTCGATTGTTCATTTATAGTGACATGCCGTTTATATCAAATAATAAATATAATAGGATGTGAAAATATTCGACTTTATTAATATAATTTATCAAATAATAGAAAAGATATAATAAAATCCTTATATTTCATATGATATTCTATCCAATTTTATTATAATTAAAAATTCAGACGATGAAATGCAGCTTAAGAATTTAATTTCAATCATTGGATCAAAATTATGCAAAAAATCTATACATGGCCATATATAAACATCTTTTTCCTCCGAAAGCTGCACTCTGGAGCCCCCTTTTGCTTACGCCAGAGATCAGAAGGAAAAAGAGGAGACTATTCTCTCCATCGTCCTCTCTCTCGTCTTCACCGCTCTGGACCCAAATCGAGTGCCTTCGCCGGTAATCTCTTCCCGCCACCACCTCCAACCGCTATAACACCACCGTCGCGTAGCGCCGGACCACCTCTGACCGTCACGGACTTCACACGCTCTCCCTCTCGTTGACGACTCTCCGCGCGGCTGCTTCGATCACTCGAGTTTGTTTCATCCAGTTGAAGCTTCTTCATCAAACTCAGACCGGAGCCAAACGCGGATGAATATCCTTTGTCGAGTAATTCGGTTGGTGGATTTTGTCACTGCCGCGCGTCGCCATTAGAGATTCTCGCTATATATTTCTATCATCTTCGTCCTCCGATGGAGGAAAACGGCCGCGACCGAGGCACGATCGAAATCGAACTCTTCACTTCCGGTAATATATATATTCAGGATCTCATCTTCTTCAGCTAAGAAACTCTTGAACGAACTTCCGGTCTTCGAATTTCAAGCTGATCGTCTCTAGCGAAGTTCCAGCAGCCACGAGCCTCCTCTGCAGAGTCCAGCGCAAGGCCAACTCTATTCCAATCTACACTCTTCAATTCCGTTCAGCTCTCCTCGAACGATCGAAGCTTAATTCTTCGTTGTTGTTCGATCGCTGCAAAAAGCTAAGTTCTCTCTCTTTCTCTAATTCTGATTTCATTACAGTCAGTTTTTTCTGATTTCTCTCTGTTTTTGTGTTCTTAGCAGCTCTGGTGATCTTTCATTCCAGCATCATTGTCTCTAACGACTTCTCCCTACGATTTGGTCGTCATTCAAGGTCTGTTGTTGCTTTTCTTCAAAGGTATTGCTTATGCTTCGTTTCAGTTGCTTGGTGAGCGAGACTAAGGCTGAGAACTCTAGTTGTGGTTTGTTTGAAAAAAAATAGTCTCCAATTGAAGATCTGTTGGTGACTCGAGCCTGTTTTGATGATATTACGATAGTTTGGATGTGAATCGTTGTTTCATAGTTGCATCTAGATCCTTTCGCTGAGGTGCCTATCACATGTTCGATAATATGCCTGAACGACATCGTATGCACATTTGAGAGGCATCCTCCTGAATCCGAATATCTTATTGTCTATCACTTGTCCACATTGTTAATAGGTGTGTTCGATTCACTTTTTTTTCTTTTTTTTTCATTTCTGATTCCTGTATTTGCCACGCTTGCTTCATTTTTGTTTGATCACATGTATTCATTTTGTCTTAGACTCTGGTCCGTTATCCTTTCTGCTGTGTATTGATTGATGCATGTCAACTGATGTACAAAGCCTGTAAATCTCTGCCATGAATAAGTGTTGCTTAATCGAATAAGTTATTGAAGCATATTCACGGAATCGAGACCCGTATTTGCTGGGGGGAGCGGAGTTTTTCGGAGTTCTTAAGTAGATGTAAAAATGTTTGTATGTCAATTCTCCAAATTAAAGTCAGTGCACCGGAAGAGAAGTTCTTGTTACCATGATGTCAATGTGTGTTTGTTGTTCTTGTGTTCTTTGAGCAATCACTGAGAGAGTGACGATTAGTTAGAGATTCAGCAAATTTTGTTTGTGTGCTTGAAGCAGAATATAATGGCTGTACATGTGATGTAGGATTGAATGGAAAGTTGCTGGGATAGTTGCTGATGGAAGCACGTCACCTGCATGTGTGTGGTCTGTGTGTAGAGAATTGAGCATAGTAATTGCTATTGATCTTGTAGTATCCAATCTGTGAAGAAGTGCCAGTGTCCCAAATTTGTCTTTATTGATCTTCTTTGTGTGATGTTCTCTTCCTCATTGTTTCCTGATGTGCGCACAAGAGGTGGGAAAGTTTCTGGACATGTCTTGGGTTAGATTTCAATCCTTTTATGATGGCTTTTCTGCTACTCTAGTTTTCATTTCTTTTCTCACACCTGGAATACTTTAATTCTGTGCACGGGATGACCGACGAGCAAGGATTTTAATTCCATGATGATTGGAGGTGGTTGGCAATGGAGCACACGCTTGGTGTTCTATGAACGAGATGCGTGCGTGCATTATTCTCTAATGAGATTATAGGTAAGCTCCGCATCCTGATTTTGTGGAATACGTGTTAGTAATTCGGTTAATAGCTGGACACTTATTATCTTCATGCGGTTGAAGCCATAGATTCTGAAGTGTTAAAGCCATATTAGACTTAGATAAAGAAAAGCAAATAGGAAAGTTTAGAAAGGAAAAATTTTTACCGAAATGGATTCATGTCCTGGAAGAGAGGAGTTGAAAATAGAAAATAATAAAAATTAAAAAAAATTAAAAAATGCGAAAATAAAAAAGTAGAAATTTGATTAGAAAAATTATATTTCTTATTTTTTTAGTGTAATTCATGCCTTTACTTGTTTGATTGATTAATTGATGATTTGTGCGTTCATGTTAGATTAGAATGTGGATTCCTAGTTTATTTTAGGATCACTTAGGATTAGTTGAGCTAATTAGTCTCAATGTGTGCTTATTTGATTTTTGTTTGTGATTGAATTGATGATTGATTGGTCTTAATTTTGATTAGCGATGTATGATTCTTCGGAGGGTAGCTTAAGGAAAGGGGGATTAGAACCTAATTAGAGGTTAATGATGTTAACCTACTGCTTTGTAAATACAAGTGGGGGTTACTAATCATTAACTTTAATCAGTGAACCCTTAGTTTGATTAAGAGGTGGTTGGGTTAATCGAATCGCGTGGGTGAAATCAAACTCTCGAGCTGAATTCCCGATTATTGATTGGCGAACTTGCTAATTGATTGTTTGGATGATTGCATGTGATAAATAAGTTGGATTTTAAATGAAATCCTACCTCGTGCGAGGTATGAGCTTGGGAGAGCCCGTGCCTAATTGATGGGCCATTTGACCCGCTTTTGGGCGAAACCCTTTGGGAGGGTTGCGACACTAAGCACATAGCAACAACTCCGCCTATTATTTACGTTGTTGGAAATGCACATCTGTTCATGAAGCCGAATATACACAGATGTTGTCCTGAGACGAAAGATCTTCAAAGAAACAAACAAGCAAAGGATTTTACAACCTTCCCCGAGAATAAAACGGAGTATAGAGAAAGCAATGCTATATATTTGAGCCATGATCTAACAAACAGTGATTAGCTGAACATTTTCCGTTGACAGGGACAATAGGTTTTCTCCACATCCTGGTATTTGCTTTGGTCATGACATTCATTTGTGAGATCCTCAACTACCTCCACGTTTAGTTGCCTCTGAACTACTTTTCGTCATGAAGGAGTCTCCATGATCGCATTGCCCTTTAGTATTTGGATTGATGAAGATGAATTCAGACCTGCAGAGAAGCTAGTCAACACTGGGAGGCGAAATATAGGAGCATATAATCCAAAATGATCATTACAGACAGAATTGTAACCGAAATTTTCTCTTAAAAACTAAACTATCATATCATCAGTCAACCTAGGACTAAAGCCCTGCCATTGAGGGCATTTTGCAACCCCTCTATGACTTAACCGACTACACGTGCGGTTAGACTTTTGCACAAGTATCTGGACACATATCGACTAAGACCTGTTCAATGTTTAAAATAGTGTTAGGACTAGAACCTAGGAACTTGGACCAACATATTGTGCAAATTAAGTTACTGCTAAACTAATTTCCTTTTCACCATATAACGTTGAATCTATACTGGAATATAAGTTGTAAATTATGGCTAGTCTATTAAATTTTGGATACTCAATTCATATATGGACTAAGGAGAAGAGATAATTCCTGTACATGATAGGGGAAAAGATGAAAAGCACTGCAGTTTGCTGAGCTTGTCATCTACAAAGTCCATCTTGGTTCCAATAATATGCATCAGGGCCTTCGGTTCAGCCAAAATCTTAACGCCCTAGTCTTCAACCAACTCATCGAACTTCCTTTTTGCATCTGAAAACTAGTATATAAATTTCCTCGAGTAGATGAGTAATCAATATTTCACAAAAGAAAAGACAGTTTATCTGCTTATTTCCATTTTTCGAGGTCCAGGTATACATGGATAAGCATGTCTCAATCTGCACTTATTTTCCCTGTTAATGTTTGTTCTGTCTCATAACAATTCATGAAAGATGGTTAACCTTTACATTATTTCAGTAAAACGTAAACTAGCATCCTATACAGAAAATTAAGGTGATTAAGAACTTCAAAGGACAATTATCTGACAGCCCACTTGTCGTATGAGACAGTAAGTTTTCGAAGCCTCTCTGATATGAACATAGGCATGTGGTATTGGCCAAAAATGACTTGCCTAATAGACGTGACTGAAGAAAGATAAATTAGTTAGAGAATCTAGTCCCTGCTTTTGCATGCTATCGCAAAACAGGAGCATAACAAAAATAGACAGATGCAGAAGCCTTCAATCTTGGAAAAACGGTAGATTTGGACTCTTGTATCTTAACCACACAACCAACACAAAGCAAAAGTTACACCGAGACATTCTGATTCCTGAGAATAGTTCTGATTACTTACAATGTAAAGGTTTTGTTTTCCACACTGAGCAACATTAGCTTTTAATCCAGAAATTAAGGCTGGTCACTGAATTTGCTAAAACATTTCATTAATTAAAGCCAAACCCACACTTAACCCTCAGCAAACCAAAAACAGCATTAACTGTTTAATTGCTAACCAAAGAGTTGACCTTTTTGTATATTCTTCAAACTGGACAAATCATTTCTCTTTCCTTTTCTCATATTTTACACAGCCAAAAACCCTTATGTCACACTTAAAATCTCAAGGATTTACTTTCGGAACAGCTTTATGAGAAATTCAGAAAAGTGAGTAGGAAATGCAGTTGCTTCCTGAGGAATTTATTTTACCACAAAAGACCCACAAAGTGATGCACTCAAGTGCAAACAAGAGAGAAAACCGGGCAAATATATCACAAAAGAGAAGTTACAGAGCCCAACATTGGATGTCAAATCGAATGGTAAAACCATGCGGACAATGATATCAGCAATTCGACATTTTCTAGAACAATCAAGTAAGTTCCGACCACTTCAAATGAGGTCAAGTGATTCCTCTATGAAGTTGCAATCTAGCAGCATGCCTATTCCAATAAAATAGAAAGAAATAAGATGCAAATGCGGAAGTTGGATTTAGTTCATCATCTCATGAAAGCTTAATGCACTTTGTTTATTTCTTTTTTATGAGTTAGTAACCGATGAGGAAATTTAGTACTCTGACGATGCTTTTCCCATGAGAGCTTTATCATCATGAGACAAAGTACTACAGAAAAATGTAGACAACCAACAATAATAGTCATAATAACTGGATGGATATGTCATTTCAAGCGAAGTTTTGATAGACGTCACTTGAAAACTATAAAATTACTGCTACTCTGGATTGATGGGTAGATACCTCGTCAGTGTCATCAATTGACTTCTATTAAAACCAAATTACATGATGCAGATACACATTAGAAGCATGCTTTGGAGAATGCATAGTTGTTGGATTAGTATGCAATCGTCATCAGTTTTACCATGTAATTTAGCAAATTCAAACTTCATGCCATTTAACATATCCAATTTCACGCTACCTGACCTACCAACTCAACATACAGTCGCACCTCAATCCACAAATATTCCCAACAGCTAAAAACAATATCTTGTGGTGACTTCGAACTAACCCAGATCTCAAAACGGGGGCATCTAATGACCATGTCTACCATTATTCAATCACAGACCCTACAGTCGTAGTCTTTCTGATTCATCATACTATCGTAACCCTTTCCTCAAAATTTGTTTTGCGCGTCTCTTAATGCCACAAGTACACATGACCATAGGGATCAACAACCCTGGAATTGGTTCGGGCATTAGAACGATCACCTGATTGACATGTGCTACTCTCCTCCACTTCTTTTCACTTTTTCTCTTTTCATGAACACCTGTTTTTGCTTTATGTTGAAGCGTGACGACCAATTCCTTTTTTTTTTTTATGGTGAGTTCTAAATTAGGTGACTCATTCACATGCGATCAATATTCCACAAAATCATATATTTTTTTCTTATTAAATATGTTTAATATACAAAAAAAAAAAGGCAACTTGTCTTATGATTTCAATATTTCAATGAGATTTTTAAAGCATTTTATAAATTTGGTAATTTAATGTAACTCCACTTACGTGACCAATGAGGGAAAATATGTGTTTTGCAATGTCCTTGTAGAGGTAGATTCGATGACAAGACCAGTAAATCACTCTTTGGCCAGGCAGGAATCTATGTTGATTGTTGCGCAAACCAAGTTTGGAGCAGTCATTAGCATAGGGACTGTGGCTGCTGGTGCATGAAATTAGCAGTACTTCTCTGTAAGAACAATGGAGATGCTTTGATGGTTTTTTGGCAGAAGTAGTTGGGCAGCCTTTCAGGGTTCAGTTCTTGCTCTAGCTATAGGTTTCTCAGCTTAAATTTGATATATTTTGATTGCAGAAGCAGTCAATTGATGTATTGTTGGTTCTGCGCACAGATAAGAAAGCGGGACTGGAATGGACAGGGTCCAATTTTGAAAGCCATAATCAATTCAAAACTATCAGTTTATCGAGCCATCGCAAGATTAACGATGGAGAGCTTGTCATCTCTTCATTTGGATGGCAAAGCTGTAAAGAAGTATCGGCTTGAGCCTCTTGTATTATTCACTGACGCAGCTGAGGCATGTTTACAATCTGTCTGGAGAAAATTGAGGATGCGGGAAGATCTATTCAGTGCTTTGCTTACTGGGATGACTCAAATTGCTGTCACTAAGGGTGGACAGCAGCTACGAGTTTTGCTCATTCGCATCAAGCTCCTTGTACTGACTGCATGTGCTCAAGGGCGTTTAAGAAAGGAATTATGCCTGTGAGCATCATTTATTCACAATAACTTTGATGGATGTGTTCATCCATAAAATACTTTTCCAGGATTACAATTTGCAGCAGGCTGATGCATGGGCCAGTAGCCATGGAGCCCATGGTTGAGAGTGTAATGAAGGCAAGCTGTGAAGTGATTGAATATGGCTGGAGTAAGGACTGGGCTCCTATAGACACTTTTATCATGGAAAATACATTGTGATAGCTTTGGCTGTTGTACATGCTTCTTGTACATAGTCGATATATGCCTGATAATACTTGTATGTAAGATATGAGCATGTTCTCCTTGAAATATTAGGGTGTCATAGGTTGGAGTCCACTTAAGGTTTACTGTGACCTATTCATCTGCTTTGTGACTATATAATTTGATAATGTTCTAGGAGTGCCTAAGTTCTCAATGTAGAGATCTTAACTGGAAATGTCAATTACCGGTCCTTCTAACTCTGTTCAGTGTTGTGCTTCTTTTGGTATTTTTAAAATTCCTTTTTTCAATTCAACTATATTTGTTTACATGTGTCTGCAATATTTACTAATTTCAGGATTGATAGAAGAAGCAGGCAGTTCCTGTTGTGCTACTTAACCTAATACACTCACTAGCAGATGTGAGTGTTGCCATTAGCCAGTGTTAAGTTGTGGATATATGATACTACCACTTTTTATTAAAAGTTTAGAAGAGGGCGGGGCTTCAACTGCCGGTTTTAGTGGGTATTCGTGTACGGACCTCTCCTTTAGAGCACTTATTTGCTCTTATGTAATTGGGATGTTACCCATAAATTTGCTTTACGAGACTGCAAGGTTCCCTCAGTAGCCTAGTTTCTCAAACTTTTCTTCCTCCTTTTGCTGCAGCTACTTGGCGCTGTGTGGCTTTGAGAAGTCATTTCGTGAGACTCTGATTTTGATGAAAAGAAGCTACTTGAATAAGCCTTCGAGTTTAAGGTCTTCTGAAAGCATAAAATTGGCCCGAGAAGCCACAAAAGAACGTGTTGAGTCTCCACAACTTCCCTTGGTATTTTTTGCAAGTTGTACTTGGATAACTTGTAGAGTTTGTAACGTAATGAGGTGATCTACAAAATGGATTTTGACTTATTCCAAGGTGGTGTAGACTCTTCCTGCTGGGTTTCTTCTGATTGCTAGCCATCTTACAAGTACTAAATTGCGTTCCGATTAGCGTCACCGTCTGCCATCTTTGTGATCAGATGTAGGCTTGGCAGCGGAGAGCAAAAGTGGAAGGTATCATTTTCCTCGAAATACATATGCCAATTGTACCACAAATAATTGATTTCGTAGGTTACAGAATAGCAGTTTATGGACAATATCTCAAGCATGGGAAGTAATGCTTTCCAGCTCGAATAAAAGGTTGTAGCAATGGCCGAATCAGCTCTAGCGATGTTAAAAACATCACGAGCTCCTCGTTTCTCAGCTTGCAGATTTTGTAGACCATAAATTGCAGCAGTAAACAACTCGAGGTGCACTCCACATCGATGGAGCCACACATCACTTGAACGAACCCTTTCTCCATTACATCCTCATTAGTCGATACTGCTCACGATTGTCGGGTGTGCTCCTGAGTTTGAACATAACTTCAGAATCCTAGCTCAAAACATAGCAAAGTCTTTTACAGCCATTAATGTGTGATAGAATTAAGCTAAACCCAATGTCATACTTCATTAATTATCTGTGTGTTGACACTTAAGTTTTTTGCCCAAAGACCTCTCATGTATTTCATAAATAAGAAAACTAGGGATCGAATTCTTCCATAAAAAAAAAACTTAAATTCTAAGCCAAAATATTGATTTTGCATAGTCTTGCATTCACATCTCTCACTGCGTTTCACTGCATTTTTTTGCCAATTACATTTTTCTTTGGAAATATCATATTCGCATTGAATAAAAGATAGGTCTTGTTAGGAATATTGTATTCAAATTGGCCCGATAGACGACGTGGCCTTAAACGGGGAGCCCTAAACTCAATTGAATTTTCAAGACCAAGCCCACGTGAGTCAGGCCCTTTGATGGATTAGGCCACATATCCTTAGGCCTGGTTGAAACTTACATGTGAGGGTCGTGTGCCGATCCCAATTACAAAAGAAAACCGAAAAGGAAAGTGAACAAAAGATCAACTTCGGCCAGTCCTAAACAAGCACGGAGTGCTCGGCAAAGGGGATAAGGGAATTAACTCCAGCCAGTACCTCATAATGGAAATAAATTTCTGCCAACACCAACAAAGAAGGCAATTCTCAGCCAGCACATGGGAAGGAAATAGAAACGTGAGGAAATTTAGAGGTTATTTCCATATTCCAGAGGGGAGTTTGACGGAGTGCCAAGTAGGAGCGAATGATCCCTCGTGTGATGGGGCACTTATGTTTAGTACGAACTTTCCCAACCCTACCAATCCCAACTTGGTTTCCATATTGATTATTTCGTTTGATATTAAACTTAGGAGTCTCCACTAATCTAAGATGGGTCAATTGTGAGCTAAGTAAGATGCAAGACCCATCTTAACTTTCCGAGCAAGAGATTCGTGGGTTTGGGGATTTGATTATGTTCGATATTTCTAATCCCATTTTTGGTACCTTCATTCTTTTATGTAAAAATACTTCATGCAATCTTTCCTATTTATTCCCTAACATGCATCTGGCTGTCCATAAATAAATGCTCAAGCAATAAAAATTAAATCAATCAGTAATGAAGCATATAAAGTACATAAAGGAAAATAACCCCGGCCATATCAGGTAAAATTAGTGCAAGGCTTTGTTATAACGCCTTGGGATAGGACCCATGAGCGGTAACGAAGATGCAACATGAAATTACTAATAATGCAAGATGTGAGTTTTTTTTTTAATCTTTTTATTTAATTATGTGTGATTTATAGAAATAAAAGTGCAACTATAGCAATTAAATAATGATGCAATCTGAACGCCTAGATATGCATTAAAACATTATGAAATTTTTTTATAAAATCATACCTATATATTCAGAAATATGCAAAATCAATACTATGCTTAAAGATGCAAAGGTGAACACGATCGGACATGCAAATAAGAATTTTTTTAAATATGTAAATATTCAAGATTCAATTTCCTAAATCTAGAACACCTAAGTAATCTAAATGTTGTTCTGTTAAATGTGCCCCTAAAATGCAAATATACAATGTAACAAATGTCTATGAAGTGCCACGAATGATTTTTTTTTTATATAAAATGTGACCTATGTAAATTGTGTGCAATGTAAACTCGAAATTAAACGTTATGTGGTCTAAGCGACTCAGTGTGATGAACCACAATGAAACTTAGCAGCAATCTATGAGGGCGCTGGTGAGAACCCAGCAACGTGGTGATGGCTCCAGCTCGACCATGATATCGAGTGAATTGCGTAGACAACCTGGAACAAAACAAAGCAAAATCGAAAGTTGAATATGGAACGCAAAATCAACTCTAGAGTTTAGAGGTGTCACTGGAGAGTCCGGAGAGGCATCATCATGGTCACGGTCTTGTGAAGGCAAATCAAACATGCTAGACCGGCCCCTCTACTTGAAGAATGCTTAGGGTCTATATGGTAATATTTCTGTTCTCGGGAACAATTTTTGTTCAGAAATAGTTTTTTCTATTTATATTCCCTGAACAAGTTTCTGAGTTAAAAAACGTATTTGGTAACTATACAGAATTTCTATTCTCGGAATTTAAAAGATCAGAAATGTGTTTGGTACGACCCTAAAAATTTCTACTCCCAATTTTTTTTATTTAATCATAAAAATGTCAGTGGAGACTTAACAGTTCATGTTTGGATAACATTGGACTAGAAATAGAATCAAAATATATTGTGATATAAAATTACCTTAATACAATCATAAAGAAAATTACTTCTTATAGACAAAACAAATATTGAGTGGTGGTCAAGGAAATTGCAGTTTAGGATTTTAGGGTTTGGGGTTAAGGTTTTAGGGTTTTGGGTTATGAGCTTTGGGGTTAGGGATTTAGGGTTTAGGATTTGGTTTTTTGGGTTTGGGTTTTGGGCTTGGGGTTTTGGGGTTTAGGGTTAGGGTTTTGGGTTTTGGGATTTGAGGTATATGATTTAGAGTTTAGGGTTTGAGGTTTATGGTTTAGGGTTCAGGGGTTTTGTGGTTTAGGGTTTAGGGTTCGGGGTTATGGTATTAGGGTTGGGGTTGTAGGGTTTGAGGTTTAGGAGTTTAGGGTTAGGGTTTAGGATTTTAGGGATTCGAGTTTTGGGTTTTGGAGTTTAGGATTTTAGGTTTAGGGTTTTAATATTTAGGGTTTTAGGGTTTGGGTATTGTGGTTTAGATGCTTAAAGATGCAAAGGTGAACACGATTGGACATGCAAATAAGAATTTTTCCAAACATACAAATATTCAAGTTGCAATTTCCTAAATCTAGAACACCTAAGTAATCTACATGTTGTTCTATTAAATATGCCCTTAATATGCAAATATACAATTTAACAATTGTCTATGAAGTGCCATGAATGACTTTTTTTTATTATATAAAATGTGACCTATGTAAATTGTGTGCAATGTAAACACGAAATTAAACGTGATGTGGTCTAAGCGACTCGGTGTGATGACTCACAATGACACTTAGCGTAATCTACGAGGGCACTGGTGGGAACCTAGCAATGTGGTGATGGCTCCTACTCGACCACTGTCGAGTGAATTGCGTAGACAGCCTGGAGCAAAACAAAGAAAAATCGAAAGTTCAATATGGAATGCGAAATCAACTCTAGAGTTTAGAGGTGTCACCGGAGAATCCAGAGAGGCATCACCATGGTCATGGTCTTGTGAAGGCAAATCAAACATGCTGGACCGGGCCCTCTACTTGAAGAACACTTACGATTTATTTGGTAATGTTTATGTTTCCGAGAACAATTTTTGTTTGGAAATAGTTATTTCTATTTATATTCCATGGACGAGTTTCTAAGTAGAGAAATGCGTTTGGTAATTATACATAATTTCTACTCCCGAGATTGAAAAAGAACAGAAAAATGCATTTGGTAACTTAACAATTCATGTTTGGAAAAAAATTGGACTAGAAATAGAATCAGAATATATTGTGTTATAGAATTATCTTAATACAATCATAAATAAAATTACTCCTTATAGACAAAGTAAATATAGGGTTTTAGGAAATTGCAGTTTAGGGTTTTAGGATTTGGGGTTAGGATTTTAGGGTTTGGTTTTTTGGGTTTTGGGTTTATGTTTTTAGGGTTTTGGGCTTTAGGGTTAGGGTTTAGGAATTCGGGTTTTGGGGTTTGGGGTATATGTTTTAGAGTTTAGGGTTTCAAGGTTTCAGGTTTGGGATTAATGGTTTAGGGTTCAGGGTTTTGCGGTTTAGGGTTCGGGGTTATGGTTTTTGGGTTTGGGATTTAGGGTTTGGTGTTTTGAGTTTTGGGTTTGGGGCTTTAGGGTTTGGGATTTAGGGTTAGGGTTTA